TTCCGCCGGTACGAGGCCGCCACTCGAGAACCTTTTTTCCTCATCGGCTGTCGGTTCTTCGAGCTATATGGCCGGCCCATTGCCACTTCTGCTTACTAATCCGTTGGGCTATGTCAGTCACTCTGGATAAACTGCGGATATCCACATTTCTAAGTTTAACATGCAGAGAAACATAGCCCTCTCCATAGCTCGCTGAGCGACCTTAAGCTTCCCCATACCGCCAGCAGTGAAGGACCACGTCTCAGTACCATAGGTCATCACTAACAACATGCACTGGTTGTACAGTCTTGTTTTCAAGTTTTGAGGTATACCTGACGAGAAGGTTATAATTAATTAATTAATTATAATAAAAAAGCCGTAATTTCCCGAACGCTGCCCAACGGAGTTAATTCCGTCGATTGACCTCTCTGTCGAAGTTGAACTTACTTAGTCGGACTATTTGTCCCAAGTAAGCATAATCGTCAACAACTTCGAGCTTAGTGCTCCCAACAACTACCGGCATAGGTGTGACATGGACATTAAACATAATCGTTGTTTTGTCTATGTTCATCTTAAGACCTATCTGTTGGGAAACGCTATTGAGGTCATTGAGCATAGTGCTAAGGTTCTATAAGGACTATATCGTCGGCAAATCGAAGGTGAGTAATGTACTCACCATTAATGTCCAGTCCAGAAGCTTGAAACCGTCTTCTAATGCAGCGGTGAAGAGTTTCGGGAATATAATGTCACCCTGTCTTACACCTCTCTACAATTGGATAGGTTTCGTACTCTGGTTCAGTACTCGAATAGCCATCGTAGCCCTACTGTACAAGCACTTTAGCACTTCGATATACCGACAGTAAACTTGGCATCGCTGAAGGGACTGCAGCACCGCCCAAATTTCGATGGAATCAAAGGTTTTCTCATAGTCCACATACGCCAGACATAGTGGCAAATGGTACTCCTCGGACTTCTGTACGATTTTCCGAAGGGTATGTATGTGGTCTATGGTGCTAAAGCCTTTTCGGAAACCGGCTTGTTCGGGAGGCTGGAAGACGTCAAGTCTGCGCGCGAAACGATTCGTAATGACTCTCGAAAACAGCAGGTAGACGCGGCTCAGAAGGGAAATCTGTCTGTAGTTCTTCAAGAGAGCGTTGTCACCTTTCTTAAAGAACAAGACTACCGCACTTCTGCACCACGCCTCCGGTGGAGTGCCACCATGGAAGACGGAATTAAAGAGCTTCTGAAGGACTTCAATTACCGGTTTTCCACCCGCTTTCAGAAGCTCCGCTGTAATTCCATCCGTTTTTAAGGTGCTGGAGAGCCATTCTAATCTCGCTCAGACTGATGTCCGGGATATTATCGGAATAGTGTTGGATAAGACTCGCTCTTGGATTGTTACTTACACTTACGTGTGGCTCCAACGATTATGTGTACAGCTGCCATAGATCCTCTCAATCTCACTTAAAATTTCAGGTGTCCCGGAAACGACGCTGCCACACTCACACTGCTGCTGCACACACTGCTGTTTAACAGTGGTAGAGCCACGCGGCAGCTTTTGCTGTCGCACGGATGGGCCGGCTCGAACCGGGGTGGTACCACGACTTCACAGAAAACCAGCGTGAAGTAGAGGTTTACCTCTGCGTTTCGCTTGGTGAGTGCAGGTGGCCGGAGGCCCTCTTTACTGGAAATGAGGCATTCCATCTTAGTCCTCACGGGTGACAACGCATCTACATATTGATTTGTAATAGAGGATAGATGTAGATGTCTATGTGCCACAGCAACCACTTACCATCAGGTGGACTGTGTGCTCGTTTGTCACCCTTATCCTATAAAAAAAAAAACACTCGGTCTTCAGCTTCGACAGTTGGCTCTTTCTGGCTGACAGATCTCTAGCAAAGACTTTGGAGCCCTGGTTCCACTCGATCGCTTCTTTAATACGAGCAATATTAAAGTTGCGTAAGTCCCGCCACATGCATTTGGAGATATGTCTGTTCAGTTGCCTGTATGCTGTTAAATCTAATGAAGACTGCAGCTTCATATCTCGTCTAATAGCCATGAGATTAAGAGTGTGATCGGAGAGTTTTTTGTTCCTCTGCGGCGGGTCTTGCAAAACTTAGGTCCGACCGCATGGACAGTTTCCAAGAGCTTATCATTCATATCATCCACTGTTTCGCAATCTTTTAGGCACTGAAAACGGTTTCGTAGCTCGAGCTGAAAGGTTTCTGGACTTTGGAACAGAGCACGAGGGTTGACGGAGCGTTGACTTCATTAGACGTGACCTCTCCAACTTCATGTTTAGGTTCAGTGTGCCTCTCACCATTCGGTGATCGCTGCCGGTTTTCACCCTCGATCACTGAATAGAATAGAATAGAATAGAATATTTTTTATTCAGTATAGATCACATGTGTAATTCTTATTGAAAGTCATTTTTTACTCTACCACTGGTTCGAAAAAAAACCTCTGTCCTGGGAAGAACCAGCAAGAAACCCAGCGGGACTTTTTTTTAAAGCAAATTTTACAATAATGGTTGTACAAACTATATAAGTACGAAATTTATTTTAGAAACAGCTTGGAAGCGATCACCTCATTCCCAAGGGCTATTGTCAACCATGTATTCATTTATACTAGCTATATAATAACCCTTTTTTTGAAACATCACTGAACAGTTGTCGTCTGGTCATCATAATGAAGTTCCTATCTGTATTTTTCAATGCTTGTATAAAGCATGCTTACTTACCGGTAGAAATGCTAAAAACGGTAAAAAGTCCTGTTCTTAAATGTTAATTGAGTAGTTTTACCAACAGTGGTAATTATAGACCGATATCCATAGCTACAACTTGTGCTAAACTGTTTGTCACCATATTATTAGGCGTTATTTCCAAATATATACAAATTAGCGATGCTAAATTTGGATTTAAAAAAGATAGTTCTACGGATGTGGCGATTTTTACTTTAAAGCAAACCGTTAGTTATTATAATAAGCGGAAAACAAATATTTATGCTTGTTTCTTGGACTTAAGTAAGGCTTTTGACAGAGTCAGTTATGATATACTTTGGAGGAAGTTACGTGATACGGGATTGCCGTCATTATCTATTAACATATTGATCGCATGGTATAGTAGGCAAATTAATGTAGTAAAGTGGCGTGATACATACTCTGAGGAATTTCTCCTACAATGCGGCGTGAGGCAGGGAGGGCTAACATCGCCTATGCTTTTTAATTTGTATGTTAATCAGCTGATCGAGGAGCTTAGAAGCACCAGACTGGGTTGACACATTGGTTCTGAATGCTTTTATAACTTGAGTTGTGCTGATGATATGGTGCTGCTGAGTCCCTCGATTGGTGCGCTGCGTGCACTACTCCAGATATGTGAGAAATATACGATGGATCATAACCTATTGTACAACACCAACAAGTCTGTTTGTTTGCTTTTTAAGAGTGGTAGGGTTCAACCTCATATCCCCCCATTGTATTTGTGTAATTCACAATTGGAGTGGGTAACGACGTTTGAATACCTGGGTCATATTGTTACTCAGGATCCGTGTGATGGTTCCGATATGGACCGCGAGCGTCGTTCCTTGTCAGTGCGTGCCAACATGATAGCTAGACGCTTTCAAAAGTGTTCTTATACCTCAAAGCTGACGTTGTTTACAGCCCACTGTCAGCCACTTTACACTCCTCAGCTGTGGACGAATTACACTACAGAGGAATATCGCAGGCTGAAGGTGCAGTATAATGAATCGTTCCGCGTGTTGTTCCGTCAGCCACGATACTGTAGCGCGTCCCAGATGTTCGCAGAGGCACGTATTGTTGGTTTGGATGCGTTGATCCATCACCGTATCGCGCGATTTAGAAGTTTTGTTTTTGGGTCGCAGAATAATCTCATCAAAATTATTTGTAATATGTATGCATGTAGTGAAATTTTTAGTAGGTAGTCAAATTTATTAAAATTTTAATAATAAAATGTAATAATATCATTGATTAACCAATAATTATAATTAAAATTTAAGGTATAGTGTAAAAAAATTTAATTTTAATTTTGTAATGGATCTGTGTTGTCTGTATCAAATAAATTATTATAATCATTAGTATTTCTTTGTCGAACCGTCGAGGCTCGACCAGTTCCACTTCCTGTGGGGCCGCTTCTAGAAGAAAGAGTTCATCATAAAGCGTTCCTCTTTCTCCATGAAGTCGGCCAGCTGCTGGCCCCTTGGGTTCGGTTGACCTATTCCGAAATTCCCTACTTTCAGATCGTCGTTCTCTCTTGTGCCTAGTTTTGCGTTGAAGTCTCCCATTAACACAGTATAGTATGTTTTGGAGGAATGCATGGCTCTAGAGATATCCTCATACATTTCTTCCACCTCCTCATCGGGGTGTGCCGAGGTTGGTGCGTAAACCTGTATGACCTTCAGCGAATACCGTTTGGTGATTCTGAGTATAAGATACGCAACCCTCGTCGACACACTCCCAATCTTTACAATGTTGTTAACGAGAGACTTGTGGACGATAAATCCAACACTTCCTTGGGACAGGTGGTCGCCCTCCCGGTGATAGAATAAATTGCCGGATTCGAGGATAACCGTGTCCTCACCCTCTCTTCGGACTTCGGATAATCCTATGACATTCCAGCGCAACTTGTCTATCTCTTCTTCCAGCTTCAGGATCTTCTCGTCAGTCCTCAGGGTGCGTGCGTTATAAGTTGCCAGGTCAAGTGGCAATACCGAACCGCCACCTGAGATTCTTAGCACCCCCTGCCCCGCCGTTACCATGGTCGCCACCGTAGCCAGGAATAGCGGGGCCGCCGGGGATTGGGGGCCGTCTCATCGTTACTTTCATGGGGGGTATATTGCCATAGCTGCCACGCTTGGCTAGCGAGTTGGCAACTGCAGTTTTTTATTGTTCTTACCTCTGTCGCCTTTTACGACACCCACGGGAAGATATGAGGTAGTGAGTATTCTTACCCTCCACTACACGGGGGTTATATTGTGATACATCAAAGTTGTCATTTAATCTCCAGATGTTGCCGAACAAGGACCAGGCCTAGCATTCGTTGCATATCCAGAAGCGCTACTTCAGATGCCTATACCACAGTTTTGGTCAATATTGTTCTTTTTAATGTTGTTTATTCTTGGACTCGGCAGTCAGTTTGCTGGTATTGAGGCTATTAACACTGCGATTGTTGATCAGTGGCCTCAATTAAGGAAGAGGTATTGGATGGTAAGATTTCAATTTTTGGATAGATATTAATATATATATATATATATATATATATATATATATATATATATATATAGTAAAAGACCAAAAAAAACATGTATGTAGAATCGTTTTATTATTGCTAATAAAGATATACATTAAGAATCTTCAAGCGATCTCATAAAATAATTTGACATTTTCAGGTTACAGCTTTCACCTGCTTTACCTGTTTTATTCTTGGAATTCCGATGTGTTTTAGTGGTGGAGTTTACTTATTTACACTGTTAGACTGGAACACTGCATCATGGGCCATTCTCCTAATCGGCATGGCGGAGGTAAATTTGATCCATTATTTTATAAGTTTAACGAAATTAAGTGATAGTTTTCATTATGTCCCACCGTTGAAAATAGTACTTCTGTATAAAATAATGATAATAAGTAATAGTTCTTCATTATTGAATGGGTTTGTAGTCACGGAAGATTCTCCTGCACAGCCCCAATGCGTACTTGCAGAATTCATAACCTCATCGTATTATTTAATTTTTAAGATTGGTTTTATAAAGGGCTAGATGTATCTTGCAACTTTTATTCTTACCTTTCTTTCTTAATAAATTATTTACCCTTCATTCTAACAGTAACCCATAACTATTTGAATATAAAATTTACTGAAAACACAGTTTTCAATTAAGTTATTACTTAACAGCCTTGTAGCATTTAAAATTTAGACGTAACAAGAGATACCTTAAGCGTTTCATATCAATTAACTGTGAAAAAAATTACTTAAATTTTCAATAAATTTATATTAATTTTTTGAAAAGATAAATAATTAAATTAGATAGTATTTTTTATCTTATTAAAACGTAAAGGAAGTGGCCGATAAAAATGGTTATGATAATCAGAGAACAGACATTTATTGGAAATGTAAATCGAATTCAGTAGCTTATCTTAATTTTCATTGTTTGATATTATGTTAATACTGTAATTATTAAAAGATTATTTTAATAAGTTTTAATATTTATTTATGAATGCGATGCAATTTTTAGACAATAGCTGTTTCTTGGAGCTATGGAATAAATAGAGCAATGCAAGATTTAGCTTCTATGAACATGAAACTCAATAAAGTATTAAGATTTTATTGGAAAGCAGCCTGGACAGTCACCGTACCAATATCAAGTATTGTAAGTGAAGTTAATTTGTTTTCAATAAATATAATTAACAAAAATACTTAATCTCAAACTGACAGCAATTTGGTGATTATTTCTTTGACAATAGTAGTGCTCCTTGAGTAATAAAAATAAATATCGTGGACCATGACAGTTATTATGGCCGACAAACTGTTCGGAAAAGAGGGCGGTGCACCGGCAGTGCGTATAGTTTGTAATTTTTCATGTTATTAAGGTCTGAAAAGTGCCACGTTTATCACTTACTGATTTACTGATTCAAAAATAATAATATTAATACGTCACTTATCAAAAACTAAGGCTATTTCTAGATTTAGGATATTGAAATTTCCTAATATAAAAAGAAAAATATCTCAATACTACACAATAACGATATTTGTTTTTGACAATTTTAGAATTACGATTAATTTCTAGTACTTGAAGATTTCGGCATTTAATTCAAAAGATCAAAATTAACCAATTTAGAAATAAAACTAAGTTATTAATTATTGACTCTTTTAATAACTTTCTTTAATAAAACAATTCAATTAATTTAATTCAAAACAGTGCAGCCGAAAACGCAAGAAAATGTTGAAGATTATGTACTTCTTTAGATTAATAAAGGGATAAAAATATACCAAAAAATAATGATATCCCATCGAAAACATAAAGAATTTGTGTATCTGGGTTCAATGTTGGTGGATGATGGAAAGTGTGAGAGTGAAATCGAAAGAAGTGTGAATGCAGGAAACACAACAGGTAGTACCAGTGGTAGTACCCAGCCTCCCACTCTATTGAAATTAGGATGTTTTTAATTTCAATAGCCTCACGTATTATCCTTGGCAGGAATCGATCTTCTTTCACGAGAATATGTGGTTTATTAAATCTAATGTAATAGCGGGGGCCGTCTAGGTTATGATCACAAACTGCAGACTTTCCGGAACGTTGGTGGTTCACGTCAGCTATGTGTTCTTTTACGCGGGTTTTTATTGATCGTTTTGTTTGCCCTATATATAAGAGACCACATTCACAATCAAGATTGTACACTCCTGCATATTGCAAAGGAATATTGCACTTGACGAATGGTAAGAACTGACCAATCTTCTTCAGCGGCTTGAGGAATGTTCTAATAGAAGTTCGCATCAAGATGTAGCCTATCCTGTCTGTGACACCTCTAACATATGATAGTAGAGCAGGCACACACTCGACTGTAGCCAGCTTCATTCGGTCACTGTGACGTAGGCGCGGGACCCGAAGCTTGTTGTCAAAGGGCGGCGGCCAGGTTTTTGCTGTCACAGATCCCTCGTGCTCTCTGTAACAAAGATTTGCCCACGGTAGCTAACTGTGAAGGATGATAGTGGGATTCATCGTTTAAATATCGGTTTGTTTGGGCCTTTGTCGTTGCTGTGAGGCACCCGAAACGTCGGGAATTAATAAAAATAAGAAAAATAAGTTAATTAAACGCGATAAAATCCGTAAATGTAGTTTTATTCAATGTGTAGTGTTCGCGTAAATATAAGAAATCAAAATTTGTTATGTTAATTTTTCCAACGTTTTTCGGTATTCCGTGTAGTGATAGGGTAAGAATATTCACTGCCCTAAATCATTCTGTGTGTATCGTAAGAGACGTCAGAGGCAAATGAACCCAAAATAATTAAAAACCGCCGTTGCCTACCCGCCTACCAAGCGTGGCAACTATGATAAATATACCCCACACATGAAATCAAAAAAAAAACGTTCGTTCAAATGAATAGGCTTGAAAGTGAACAGAAGTGGCCTGAGTGTGAACACATGCACACACAGTAATAAATAGTAATGTATAATGCAGTAGTAGGAAGTCTTATTTACGTAGATTATGAGGCTATTGACTTAGCTTTTTATGACAACAGATACGAGACTCGAAATTAAAGTTTTGACTCGAATGGTAATCTCCCCGTCATTCATATACGCTGATATTATAGATAAATACTTTAACGATAGTGGACTGCTGATAATATTACCTCCCATTCGAAGTGCATGCACCGATATCACAGATATGTACGAGTAGCTTTATGTAGCGTTGATGACGATAACATATCAATGTTTAATTTTGTTTTGTATTCTCTATAAAAATGAGGATTTTTAAAATATATATTAGATTTACTTTTAATTATGGAAATATTGTGTTAAATTTGAAAGAATTCCATTGTTTAATTAAGAATGATAATACATTCATTGAAGTTGAATGATATATAACTTTGAAATAAATGTTTCGGTACCTATGATTCGCGTGCCACGTAATGTAAGTTAATTGTATGCTTATAACCTTCACGCATTTGCAAGCAATAAGATGACAAAGTTTTAGCACAATGTGATGAACGTATATTGCAGCGCATGAAATACGAACAAACAAAAATAAACTTTTATATATTAAATTAAATTGGATAGAATTTATTTTTTCCATATAAACCTGCCATTGACCTGATACAGGAAGCATAAACTATGCATCAATCTACGTCTATCCTCGATTAAGAATAAAAATGCAAGTTCGACAACGCATACACACTCTTGAGAACTAGGATGGAATAGCTCATTTCCAGTAAAAACCGTCTCCGGTTCTCTCCCCTCACATTACAAAACAGCATTAAGGTACTATTTCACGCTAGTAATCTGCAAGAGCTGGTCCTCGATCGCGTCATGGCTTTTCCACGTCTAAATGTTAGGCAAAATAGTGTCAATAAAATTAAATATTTTATAAAGTTTTTATGTGTATAAGTAAAAATATATACAACTTTTTTAAAGCTAGAACATCTTAATAATTTTCAAAATTTTATGTTGCAGGGAGTCCTAATATTTATATTCTCTGACTGGTCACCGCCATCTTACGAAGGATACGTATTTCCATTATTTGCCGATCTTCTTGGTTGGGCTGTTGGACTGTCGACGCTGGTTCTGTTTCCTGTTGGCGTTGGCTGGGCTTTATACAAAGGATATGTACGTAATTTTTTTTAAATTACTTGATATTTAATAATTTTTTTATTACATTACAAAAGAGTATAATATCATTTTTTTTTTTTTTCTTTTTTATAGAATAGGGGGCAAACGAGCATGCGGCTCACCTGATGTTAAGTGACTACCGCCGCCCATGAACAACCGCAACACCAGGGGAATTGCAGATGCGTTGCCGGCCTTTTAGAAAGGTGTAAGCTCTTTTCTTGAAGGTTCCTAAGTCGTATCGGTTCGGAAAATTCGCTGGTGGTAATTGATTCCACAAAGAAGTTGTGCGAGGGAGAAAACTTCTTCTAAATCGCACAGTGGTGGACCGCCAATCATCCAGATGGTATGGATGGTAACGCGAGTTTTGTCGCGACGTGCGATGGTGAAATTGAGCGGCTGGAATTAGTCCGAACAATTCCTCAGAGCACTCCCCGTGATAGATGCGATAAAATACGCAAAGAGATGCAACATCTCTACGCAGTGCCAGTGTATCGAGCCGATCGGAAAGAACTCGGTCGTTGACGATTCGAATCGCTCTGCGCTGGATGCGGTCAAGTGGAAGGAGCTGGCACTGGGGTGCCCCGGCCCAGAGATGAGAACAGTATTCCATGTGGGGCCGAACTTGCGCTTTGTAAAGTTGCAAGCGATGTGCCGGCATGAAATACTGTCTCGCTCTGCTGAGCACGCCAAGCTTTTTAGAGGCCAATTTGGCCTTCCCTTCCAAGTGACCACGAAACTGCACGCTATTCGATATGTCGACGCCAAGGATTCCGATACTGGCTGAGGCAGCAAGGGGAGTGCCTTGAAACTGAGGAGATACGACAAAGGGGTTCTTTTTAGCGGTAAACGCGCAAACTTGTGTCTTCTGGGGATTGAACTGGACTAGATTTAGTCGGCCCCAATCCGAGACTTTGTTAAGCAAAGACTCGACTTCAGACACAAGTTTGTCCCGGTACTCGGCGACGTTTTCCCGAGAAATATTGGCACGGCCGGTATATAAGGCATCCCCAGTGCTGTCGCCTACATAGCAATGAATGCTACCAGTTAGCAACATATCATTGATATGCAGGAGAAACAGCGTTGGTGATAGCACGCAGCCTTGTGGAACACCAGCGTTGATAGGCTTGTAATCAGAGCATGCACCGTCTACTACGACCTTGATGCTCCGATCAGCAAGGAAACTGGTGATCCATTTGCACAATTTCTCGGGAAGCCCATAGGAAGGAAGCTTCGAAAGAAGCGCCTTGTGCCAGACCCGATCGAAGGCCTTCGCTATGTCCAAACTAACGGCCAATGCCTCCCCCTTGGACTCTACTGCCTCCGCCCATCTATGAGTTAAGTAAACTAAAAGATCACCTGCTGATCGACCCCGACGAAAACCGTACTGACGGTCACTGATCAGCTGGTGATCCTCAAGGTACCTCATGAGCTGGCAGTTTATAATGGATTCCATTATTTTGGAGAACAAGGAGGTGATGGCGATAGGCCTGTAGTTGGACGGGTCTGAGCGGTCGCCTTTTTTAGGGATCGGGTGGACCAAAGCTGTCTTCCATGAATTCGGGACTACGCCTTGGGAGTAGGAGTACCGGAAAAGACGCGTTAAAACCGGTGCCAACTCCGGAGCACACGTCTTCAGCACAATGGGAGGGACTCCATCGGGCCCACTCGACTTGCTGACGTCCAGGGAGAAGAGTGCTTTGCGAACCGAGCGCTGTGTAAATCGCACATCCGGCATGGAGCACTCACATCGCGGGATGGTCGGCGGTGTGTTCCCCCCGTCATCTAGAGTCGAGTTGGACGCAAAAAGAGAGCACAACAGATCGGCTTTCTCTTTTGCGGCATGGGCCAGTGAGTCGTCCTCTCTGTGCAGAGATGGGAGGGATGGCTGACAGAAGTTCCCTTGGACAGCCTTGGCGAGAGACCAGAATGCACGGGTTCCCGAAGGAAGGCGAACTAGCTTCTCGCCAATTCTGCCGATGTGCTCAGACCTTGCCTTGGCAATGACGCTTTTGAAGGACCTGGAGGCGGAATTATACTTCTTTTTAAGTGCGCTGGTGTTTAAATCCCGAGACGTTGATGCGTCAGCCCAGGCCCGGTAGCACTCCTGCTTATAGCGTGATGCTATTTTACAGGAGCGACCAAACCATGGCTGGGATCTGCCTCCGATGGGCACCACAGAGGATGGAATAAAAAGTTCCATACCCTGAAGTACCACATCAGCAACAGAATCGGCAACAACGCTGGGATCTTCCGGCGAGAAGCAAACCCGCCCCCAAGGGTAGGATGCAAAAAAAGACCGCATCCCGTCCCAATCAGCTGACCTATAGTGCCAAACACGGCGGCAAGCTGTAGATCGCAACTGCGATTGGAGCGTGAGTGGCACTGTGCTCCGGATCAGACAATGGTCCGAAGAGCCCAGAGGGGCATCGACGGAGACCTGATATCCGTCCGGATGAGAGGTCAGCAGAAGGTCCAACAGGGAAGGTACATGGTCTTCCACATCTGGGATCCGCGTAGGCGAAGTAACCAGTTGTGTTAGACCATATGCCAAAGCAAAGTCGTAGACAGATCTACCCGCATGATCGGTTGAACGAGAACCAAGCCATTCAGCGTGGTGGGCGTTGAAATCACCGAGTATCACGATCTCTGCGGATGGGACCTGTTGTAGCACGGAGTCTGCAGCCATTTGGACGTGGTCGATGAGTCGGTCTGTGTCGGCATTACCGCTATGGGACCTATAGAGGCACCCGTAGACGCGGGGATGGTCGTCGCTGTCTACGCGCAGCCATAGGATGGACAGGTCCGTACCTTCAAGGCTGCCGAGGCGTCGAAAACAGATGTCCTCTCTGACGTATACACAAACTCCAGCCCGGGGCACAAAGGAGTGTTCCAATTTGTACCCCGGGTAGGAGAGATATGAAGTATCAGCCGGAGAGGACACCTGAGTCTCGGTTAAAAAGAGCAAGGCCGGCTTCGCCGTCTCTAGATGGTAATGGACAGCGTTAAGGTTGGAATGAAGTCCCCTGATGTTGCAAAAATTCACGGATAGCGTGACAGGGGTCGCCTTGGTTGTATTGCTCCGCTTGCCCCGAGCAGCATTAGTCACGAGCGGAATTTTGCCCCCCCCAGAATACGCGGGGCAGCCTGAGCACCCACGCTCAGGAGTGAAGTAGTTTGTTCGTGGATGCTCAGCGAGGGATTCTCCAGGGGTGCTGGTACCCTCCTGGGGTAGTCTTGTATTTAATTCCACTACCATGTTGATGGGGGGGGGGGGGGGAATTGGGCCATCATGATCATTTGTGCTATCATAGTCAATTTTGAATTCATATCTAGCAATGATTTCGTGTATGTTGAAGAGGCAACTATGCAAAATGTCGAAAAGATCTTGTGACGTACAATAAGTGGCGGCGTATAACCATCTAGTTTACACTGAACATAAAATTCCAAATTCAGTGACGGGAAGCAGCTCCTCAGGTGCGATTTCTAATCTACCTGACAAGTATAGTGACTGAGGAAAATTATTTAAAAAAAAAAAGAGAAAAAACTTAGTCCAGCAGGGAATTTTTGCGAGATGTTGTGTTGATATTACAAATTACAGCCGAAGTATATTCGGATGTTACCAATTGCGCTGCTTATATTAATGTGCTAATACTGTTTAAGTAAGACATAGTTTCTTACTATCAATATACACGTAATGTGTTAAGCATTTATCTGACAAGATTTAGAAGTGACCAAAAGTACAATCAAGGTAAATTATCTAGGCATAAAACATGTAATTTACATTTTAAATGTAATCTAATATATAAAATGACGTAATAATTAAAGTATTTATTCCTGACATTGACCTTGATATGACCTTATAAGTTTTATAGTGGAAATTACTTCAGTAATTACTTCTTCGTTCGTTATATATGAAGTAACGTGAATCATTCTTAACTTAAACCATTTTATTTGTTTCAGAGGGGCAAGGAATTATTTACTCCAACTGAAACCTGGAAACCAGCCGCAAAATACCGAGACAGCACGGGTAGTAACGCTAATTCGCCTCATGATTCAAATCACCAAACCTATGATAATATGGGTTATATGTGACAAAATAATATGATAACATACAATTCCTTGTATAATTCCTCTTAAAAATTCCAAATAGTCAAAATTTTTACATTAAAGCATAATTTATTCTTCATTCTAGGTAATAGGATACCTTTTCTGCCTGTGAGCTTACTGGGTAGGTATCATTTTTACTTGTCTGAAAGGCAAAGAGAGCCTTTTGTTTTTTTTTTACACTATACAAGCTGTGAGGTATTTCGTCTTAGCTCTCAGAGGTAACACAACATCTGTAGCTTGCTTCTTTAAAGTTGCCTCCAATCCAAACCAATTACCATCAGGTGCAGCCTGCAATTTTATTTAAAAAAAAACTGATTGATCTTGAAGATATATAAATTCGAGACAGAATATTCATTTGAAGCGAGTTTTTTCAATAAATGTCCTCATTTATAAAGTGATATTTGATCTTGGAGGTTATTAATATAATATTATGTTACTGATAAGAAGGAGGGAAGGAAAAAAAATGTAAGAAGATTTAAACATAATCTGGCTTACTTATAATCGTAGATTATCGCTTACTTCTATTATCTATTACTTACCTCTATACATGTCTCATTCTATTATCATTTAATGAAACGAGAGAAAGCAACTTTAAGGACTCCTTAATTTAACGCTGATTGTATAAGGCCGTCAATAATTTTTATATTATTTAAAGTTAATTTCGAAATTCGGTCTTACAAAAAGTAACTTTGTTTTAGATTTTAATTAATCAGTAAACAATGTGTAATCGTAGTTATCTTAATTTGCTCCAACCTAAATTTTCATTTTACTTCACCTGGTAGTCTGCTAGTAGGCATGTCTGCTACTTAAAATATGCTTTTAAGCTTATTGTTTACCTATTAAATTCATAAGGGGAGATATTTGCCATAGTTGTCACGCTTGGCAAGTGGATTGGCAACGACAGTTTTTTTCTAATATTTAGTCGTTATTAGAGCGACGCTGCTGCCCATCTACTGATTTGTTTCCCTCTGTCGCCTCTTACGACACGCACGGGATAATATAAGGAAGTGTATTTTCTAACACCGTATACTTATTTAATAGTCAACCTTGGGCTATTCTGAGCCGTGGTAATTCAATGATGTAAGTTTCACATTATGCGAACAACCGGAATCGGTTACGACTATTGTAATTCTTTATTGCAAATTAGTGTATAGTAATAAAGCCCTGATTTACCACTGCTCGGCAGTGAAGATAAACGCCGTGGTGAATAACTACGTGTCCAAAAAAATTGTAAATATCAGAGACATGCTAACACGCATTGGGACAGCGTGGAGGATATTTCCTTCCCCTAAAAACCTCTAAGTAATGAGAATTAAAATATTAACAGAGGTTTTGACTATTACATAAATATAATTATTATTCGTCTTGTGGTAGTTAATTAAATTATTCTATTCATTTTTGTGTCATAAAGAACTAATTGTCATAAAATTTGTTACACCTATAGATATTATGAATATCGATACCTAGGAAGGAGTGTGAAAATCCTGGTATTACGAATTCACTTTTTATCAGCTATTTATGGAACTTAATTGACAAATAACCACCAAGGAAGAGATGTTTAATATACCTAGCCTTTATTGGATCTAATATAAAGGAATTTGCTGATGACTTTTTATGTAGCTTAGCATTGATCAAGAGCGTCACCAATTTTTTATATAGGTATTTGTAAATATTTACATGTAATGGAATCGCAATAATTAGCATGTGTATTAAAATCACAGTCTACACATTGTTCTCTTCTTTCACTTTCTATTACTGACTAAGTACCTAATTTCAGCTTTGGTGTATTTTAAGTGCTTATTTCATTTTTCGTCATTCGAATCCATTAATTCGCTCAGTGAACTTACTATTTGTCTCATTTCTTTTCGTAAATATACATTTGTGACTTCCATAAAATGGTGAACAGTGGTGTGTAATAAATTGTTCTTTAAGAAGCACAAAATATGTATTTAAAGAATTTTGAAAGATCTATAGAGTAATATCGACATTTTAATATTGATCTGCCTTTGTAATTATGAGTGATTGCGATTTTTCTTGTACAAAACCATAAACTAACTGTTAACAACAAAATATTGTAAATAAACTATAGTGCAATTAAACTGTTTCTTTTTTTTTTTAATTAATAACATTGAAAAAATTTAACCAGGATTTTTATTACTTAATATAATATTTTAAAAAACATTTCAATGTAGATGAGAGTATTTGAAACGAAAGCATAACTTAGTAGCGTTGCATTCCCTGACTTTTAAGACTTATATTGGATATTAGAGTTTTCAAGACAATATCATAAGGTTCGTGCGTAAGGTATACATGATTTAAAAGAGTCACTACTGCCTCGCACAGTGAGTAAAGATGCAATATTAATGCCTAGTAATGCTATTCCCCATCACCGATTGATGCATATGAACTATACCGCATGAAAATTTGAAATCACGAGAAAGATTATTATTAAGTACGCCTTCAGGTCTCTCCATCAAGTCCGGAGGTAAGGTTTCATCATAACTAATATAACAAGCCCAAACTCGGCATACCAAGTTCTACTCGTCGAGGAGTTCCAGTAGCAGTCACCGCAGTCCACTTTCTATATATTTATATATAAATCTCACTTTTAGCGAAACAAAATATTATAATAAAAATGTGTGATTATAAAAATAATTATTTTATTTTACCTTGTCAAGTACCTATGTATCAAATGCGAATATTTTGTGGTTGTTCAGTGATCTTTTTCAGCATGAGCTGGATATTGTATTGCCTGATTGCAGGCAATACAATATCCACTCACGACGTCAGCTGAGCACGGACAGTGGTTTCATCGAATTTTTTTTACAACAAATCAAAACAGGCACCAAAAATAAAATAACCCTCATTGAAATAGATTATGATTCATCCGTATTAGAAAAAATAAGCATCAGTTTTAATTTTACTATGCGACTATTTGTGATATTTTGATAAAAAATAAATAGTATTATTTTTTATTGAATATGTCTGCTATTTTAAGAATTTTTAGAAATCTTAATATATGTTGATAAGAGAACAAAACATGTACCTAAATTCGAGGTTGTATCATTAATTTTGTAAAAAATGGTTAGGGAAGATCGTTTTTACAATATAAAAAATATTATTTTCAACAAATTAGTTACTACCATTTGAAGATGAAAAACCAGTCTATATGTAGTAGCTATTAGTTATAATTGATTTGGTTTATTTTTTTCACAAAATGTACCGAAAAACAGCATAGTTTTGCCCGATTTGCAAACGTGCCCTTAAAAAATTATATACAGTCTCTAAATTACGTCATATCTAAGATTATTCGGCAAAACTATTGGTGAACGTGAGTTCTGGTAACACAGTCACACATCCCTGTGTTGCAATGTTCAGGACTGAACTGGTACCTATTAGATTAGGCTGGGATAGAAAAGCAAAATCCACGGTTTAGTAATCAGGAAATTTAATCCCACGCTGAACAAGTATTTGTATCAACTACAAATAATTGTTCCGGGTCTGGATGTTTGTCCTCGCGCAATTTATTCAATTCAAATTTATTTATTTTCAGACAACAAAGATCCATGGGTTAGCATTACATTATCACTTAAAAACTAAGTGTTAGTACTTTTAAAAAATTAAATTAAATTATATTATATTATATTAGAATTAAATTACATCAAACTAAAATCATATTAATTCAAATTAAATCAAATCAAATCAAAATAAAATTAGACTGAATTAAATTCTAATTTGTCATGTACCTGAGAGGCACTCCGTGCGGTCGACGCCTAGAACAATTACCATCCACTGTATGAGTCATCGTTCGCACGAAGTGCCTTACAATAGACGCATGCGGATCATCTGCCACCATTCTTAGGATGCTGTTGTCACTTCTCCGTATCCTTCCTATCAGCGACGCTACTTTTTTCCGAACTAAGGCATGAAAACCATCAGTTCTTGTCTGTGCAAACATGCCTGAAGCACTACAGAAGCGGGGGAGTGCCAACATCATCCTGAAAACCTTATTGTACTGGACTCGCAGGGTGTTTAACGATTTTTTGGCATACTTAATCCACAGACACCCCGTGTTACCACCCCCTGGCAATACGCTTTAAATAATGTTATTTTGACCCATTTAAGTTTATTTCAGGGATAGATTCGGGACACCTGCTGGCGGCCCTAAAGACCATGTATTGACTTTTTTTAATGTAGTATACGAGAGTTGGATGCGAGACAGTGTAAGTCTCGCTGACATTCAACATTTCTCTGATCGCATTCGCAGTGGGACTCAGCAACACCATGTCATTCACATAGCTGATGCTATTGATACTAACACCACCCACACGGCATCCAACACGCATGCTGCTGAGCTCCACCAAGAGATCGTTAACATACAGGTTGAAGAGCTTCGGAGACGATAACCCTCCCTGCCTCACTCTGCACTCCAATCTGTACGACTCGGAGAGACTGTTTGACCATTTAACATGATTGATCTGACCTTGCATACCAATACGGAAAGATATTGATCATCTCTGCGGGAATACCCCTGTCCTCCACCTTCCTCCAAAGTACATCATATGAAACAAGATCGAAGGCTATGGAGAGGTCAAGAAGACAGGCGTAAATAGGAGTCCTCCGGTCTGTGTAGTATTGCACAGTATGCTTGAGGCTCAAAATTGCGCTTTCAGTCGATAGTCCGGGCCAGAAACCGAACTGCGCATCATGTAGGCGTAAGTAATTTTGTAAGCAAGAGTCAAGCAGACTATCCAATATCTTAGCTATCGTTGTAGCGAGGGAGATTGGGCGATTGGGTCTTGGTCTGAACAGCTGCGTCTTGTAGAATATCCACAAAACGTTTATAAAAGCTGTTCAATTTATGTTTGCAAACTACCTCCACGATACAGAAAAAATTCCTAGTGATCTTCATAAACATAACAACACGATAGCTGTTGCTGACACTACTTTACAGGTTAGAGTTTCGTTAAAAAAGTTATTAATTT